ACCTCATATTGATAAAAAGTCCAGAGAACAATTTGAAATGGAAATAAAGAAAAAATTTCTGATCATAAAAACAGAAAAGCATGAATTGCGCAAGAAGTTCTTTCGGTTAAAACGCCGTGCGACTCGGAGGACATAAGACTTCTTGGTCAAGCCAAAATGCCGGCAGAATGCTCCTACCCCACCATGCCTGGCCCTTTACCTTACCTTAAGAAAGAAGAAATGGGGGTATGAAGCGTGGGAAAGAATGAAAGAAGTGTCTGATACAACAGGTAACCTTAAGGAGTGGCGGCAAAGCTCTTGATTGATCAACGCGAGTGAACTGTGCTTAGACGCTTCGTAAAACCGCACCGATCTACGAGAGGAGCTGATGGATGAGTAGGCTTCCCCTTTCGATTTACGGAATGTGATCTGGGACACGATGGGGGTTTGCGTGCCTCGGTAGGAAAGAGATCACCGGAGTATAGCACAAGATCGCCTTTTTTTTCTTGCTGCCATGGGGTCGACCTGTAAACAAGGTAAACCCAATGGGAACCAAAAACGGGAGGGTACCACATTGATTGACATTGGGCAGAAGACGATCCAAAAAGCGAAGGCTCACCCAGCTGAGATCGGCAGTGAGGGATGCTTACCTTCTTCTTAGAGAAAGGGGAAAGGGGCAACCTATCTTACTAATAATAAGAAAGGGGGTGGCATCGACTGGGGTTTTACACCCAGTTGGTGTAAGGGATGAATCACCCTTTGCGGTCGGATTGCCAGAAATGGTGCCGACTGTCCATGAGGCGAACAATCGGTAGCGAGATACAGATCCGGAGAGATCTGGGTCTTCTATCTCAACATTTGGTTGTTTAACCTCACTCCACGACACATGGAGTCCTATTTGTTTGGTTTGGTTAACTAGGTGCCCCCCCACGACTGATGCGACATTCAGTCGTTTAGGCGAGTTTTGGTGTTTATTAAGATAAACCAGTTTGTCAAATGAATCCGGTTGGATTCGCAAATGTCTTATACTTGAGTATTGACATTTGAGGGCGGTGATCTGGAAGCCATCCCAGTGGAGGTTAGTCCAATGACTGACTTCTGCATCAGGTACCCCAACCGGATAAGGAAAGACATGAAAATGAATTTTTCCAGGTATTTGTTTGACAAACAGTTGTCTCTTAAGACCATCAAATGGCACAAGATTTTGGAAAATCTTATTAGTAGCTATTATTAGTATCTATAATACTAATAATAGCTACCGACGGTCTGACCAAGGAACTCTGTATAGGAGCATACCTCGTAGCCAAACAGGTAATTCAGTTAAACCGACGATCTGGCCCTCTGTTTACTGCTTTATATCTAAAACAAGCAGCTACTTGCTGTAAGCAAGCGTATGCAGGGGTCAGTCAGTCGCACAGTTTATTACCTGTGCCAGTGTCTCTGACGAGGTCAGGATACCCTAAGATTATACCTTCCTTCCATCGCAAAATTCTTATGAAGAAGGATCAGAAGGCCGACTTATGGGTTCATATATATCTGTCTTTAGTCTTTGTCGGGCTATTCGCCTGGCGAAACGGATTGACAGATCGATATTGAAATAGATAGTCACCCCTTCCACCGGTCTGCCAAGACAGTCTAAATAAAAAAATGATATTGTCGCTTTATCTAAAGACCTGATCCTAAGGTACTGTCCTAGTTTTCTCTCAACTCCCTTGTGTCAGGGGGTACGTTGGGAGCCAACTTGGAAAGCGAGACCTTCGTGGAGGCCGTAAAGGTGAAAAGACGCGTGGAGGAATATTCTACCCTACCATCTGCGTCATGAAATCGTTTGGTTTGTACATCAATAGCCATTGTGACTATGATGCAGGGTTTCCTCTATGGTCCCCCTTTATCCGATACCCTTATGACCAAAAGAAAGAATGAAGAGATATCTCCATGGTCTACAGAGACCGCTGAGAGTACCATCCACTCTCTTTCGGGTCTAGACACTTCGGTGAGTCTATTGACTCAGGCTCCCCTGGTAGACTATCGCAATCTACCGAGGCTGGCGCTGGTAAGAGACAGATATTCGCCATAGGTAACTTTGTGAAAGGGTATTGAAGCCTCTTCATGATTTCCTCATGGACACGCTTCGGTCTATCCCAATGGATGGAACTTTTAATCAGCTCCGACCGTTCGTTGGATAGATGAAAAGGTTTCAGTAAGGTTTATTCTTTTGACTTGAAGTCTGCCACCGATAGGTGGCCCCTCAGTCTGAAGACTAACCTTATTAGAACTTTATTTGGTAAGTCTGTTGGAGATTGTTTAGATGCAATCTTCAGCAGATCTATGAAGTACCCTTTCTTCGCTCAGTTCGAGGTGTCGTATTCTTTAGAGTAGGACAACCTCTTGGCTTTCTGTCTTCTTGGCCTCTCTTCACTTTAACACATCACTTAGTGATGTTTTATTGTGCAGAGAAGGTGTACCCAGGACAGCGCTTTACTAGGTATGCCATTCTTGGAGACGATGTTTGTATCGCCGA